CCTTGTCCTCCCCGCTTTCCCGAGGGGATCTGTCTGCACCCCACAGCCCCCCCCAGCCCATGCCCAGGGCTTTCTGTGGGACCTCGAGGTGCTCCAGGGACGGGGGCCCTGTTCCCGCATCACCCCTGGCTCTGTTGGGGTGATAACAGGGAGTTTCAGTCCCTCTGGGCGGTGGGCACAGGGAGATGCCGTCCTTCTCCCCCTGCCCCTTTCGGGTACGGGTGGTAGGGAGGGATCCCAACATCCCCCGCAGGGACGGATGCTGTCTCCCCTCCCCAAGCCATGGGAACCCCCCCAGGAAGCGTTTGCCATGTGTGGGGTTGGGACCGTGCATGGGGACATTGTGCCACATCCCCAGGAATGTTCATCTCCTCCAGGCTGCCTGTCCTGAGCCCGGGGAGCATCACTTCGGCCGTCACGGGGCTGCCCCGACCCCGTCCCATCGGTTCCCCAGCGGGGTGTGAGATGCAGCCAGGTGGGGTGTGAGGTGCTGCCGGGGCTCATCCCCAGGGAAGCCAAACCGAAAACGTCCCTCGGAGCCGGAGCCCTGACCCGCGCAATGCTAAGCCTCAAGCTACCCCGGCTGCTCAGCATCAACCAAGTGCCTAAGGTCAGAGAAGAGTTTTTCTTCCCTATGCTCGAGGCTCGTGGGGTTTTGGGAGGTGACAAAGGGGAGCAGTGTGCCAGGGTGGACATCCCCCCCCCCGGGGCAGTGCTCAGCCCCTCCGCAGGATCACCTCCCACGGCAGGACATGGCTCTGTCCTCGCAGCAGGGTCCTGGGCCCTGGTTTAGGGGCACCCCCAGCTCTTGGCAACCTTCCTTCCTTCCCCTCCGACTACCTCCAGTGCCAGTCCTTGCCTTGCAGGGGTACCAGGAGCAGGGGATCCTCTTTGGGTATCGCCCCCCCAGAAGCTCGGCAGCAGATTGCCTCCTCAGCGTCTTCCAAATGACAAATGAGACACTTTGTGCCTGCCTGGTAGGTACCGTGCTCTGGGTCCTCAGCATCCGTGGGAGGAGGTGGTGGGAGGAGGTGGTGGGAGGAAGGCTAAGGGAGCAAGGAGAGGGGACACCCAAGGGTGCGATGCTCACCTTCCTCCACCCCACAGGTACTTTGTGTGGACCCTGATGGGGCGGCTGCAGGGGCCGGGGGGCCGGGAAGACCCCCACGCCTGGCCCCTCCTCGCCTACCTGCTGACTTGCTGCATCTACCCCCTCGCCTCCAGCTGCGCCCACACCTTCAGCACCATGTCCACCCGCGCCCGGCACATCTGCTACTTCTTCGATTATGCGGCTCTCAGCATGTACAGCTTGGGTAAGGACGGGCACGTCTGCAGGGCTTTCGGGAGGGGAGGTACCAGTCCCCAGCACTTCCCTGCTGAAGCCCAGGGAGGCATCCGGGATGGGGCTGAAGCCCGGGTGCTCAGACCGCTCGTATCCATGGGACAGGCACAGACGGCAGCTGCTTGTGTGCAGTTGCTGCTCCTCCTCCTCCTCCCTGCAGCCTGGCACTTGGGAGAGACTGCGAAGCATCTCTGACAGCATCACAAATAATAATTCGGGGCTGCGTTTCACACCGGGCAGCCCTGGGACGGAGGCCTGGCTGTGTGACGCTCTGCTAGTTGTAGTAAATAGAATAAGAGCGAAAAAAAAGCACATTAAAGACAAGTGCTGTCAGTGAAGTCGGTGGCACCTGGTGGGGTGCGAGCCCAGGGTGAGCAGCAGCAGCCGCCGGGGTCTTTGCACGGCAGCACCCATCCCGGCAGCACCCATCCCCGGCTCCTCAGGGAAAGGAATCTGCAGGAGCTGGCGATCGGGGCATCTGCCGGCTGCTCCCCTCGGCTGCTTTGCCGCTCTTCGACCTGAATTCCTATCGCCCGTTCCTGAGAGCGCCCAAAGCCAAGCACCAGCTTGCAGCTGCATCCCAGCTGCATCCCGGAGGATGCTGAGGGTCCCGGCGGGACCTGGCACTCACCGGGCACCTCCCGCATTCCCAGGCTCTGCGCTGGCATACTCGGCGTACATTTTCCCAGCAGAATGGGTCGACAGCACTTTCCACCACTGCTACGTCCCCATTGCGGCGTTCAACACCGTCGTCAGCACCAGTCTGTCCTGTTATTCCAGGTAAGCTTCCGCTTTATCTGCCGTGATTGCTACAGCGTAATCATTACTTAGTATTATTAATAAAGGTTTTTGATTACGGGCTGTATTGTGACGGTATGAGCCTTAAGTTCAGGAAGGGGACGAAGGGGACTTTTGGCTCGGGAAGCATGTTGTGTGCTGGCACTAGGAGAGTTTGATGATCAAAAATGCAAACTAAATGGAGTAGCTTTAATTTTTGAAAGTTCAAAAGGTAATCTCGTACGGTGCATGCCTGGTGGGGAAATACCCCCCTCCCGCGCCCTGTTTTGGCTGTTCTTCTTCTAACATCATCTGCAAAAAGCAGGGGGGCTCCGGTGCACCCAACGTTTAAGCATGTGTTTAGGTTTAAACTTGAGCATGGTCCTGCCAAAGGCACGTATCAGCCGAAGCGCTGCGTGTTTGTGTGCGTGCGCCTGTGTGTTTATACGAGTGTGCAACAGATCTGCAGCGGAGGAACCTCAGCATTCCCACAGCCGATTGTATCACTTTTAAAGCATGAGCAGCATTGCGTGTGCGGTATTTTGTTCCTCAATGGCATGAAACGATTTGTTTGGAAAAACTCAAATGTCTAAACAACCCGGCTGATTTCCAGCAATACGTGCCGTGCTAGATCTCTAGCTTGTTTGGGGTTTATTTAATTCATGGTAGATACCTCCCTGAAGGCTGTGTTTGTGAAGCACTTGTGTCTGTCATCATGACGACATGCAGTTTGCTTTGCAAAATGTACAATTCCTGTTTTCACAAGCGGCGTGAATCGTTTGGCATCATTCCTTCCTTCAAGGTTGGGGTGTCTTTGTATTTTGGGGTGTCTGTCTTTGTATTTCGGAGTGTCTTTGGCATGTGGTTGCTCTTTGGCACGTGGTCGCCTGTCGCAGCATCACGTAACCCCGGGGGTGCCGTGCCCCGGGCAGCCCCCCCAGAACCCCCCTGGCACAGGGTCGTGTCCCGACACTGCTGCCTCGGCAGGGAAGGCGATGCTCCTCCGCCCTGGCAAAGACGGGAGGGAGGAATCGCGGCTGGCTCTGCTGCACGAGAGGGGCTGCTGCAGGGTGGGATGCAGCCCAGCATCGCCCTGTCTTCCCGGGAGGGAGAGCGCTAAGCTCTCGGTATTCCTTATGGATCCTGCACATTTGGCTCATTTAAGTGTCTGTTGAGTCCGGGAGGTTTTACTCGCCTTTTGGTCTGTGGGTTACTCACTGGAGTAACTCCGTGGGGTGGAAGATTTGGACTTACCCTTGGTATGACTGAGCAGTACTGCAAACTCAAGGATCTCTCCTGGATCACGCAGTGGATGATGCCAGTTGGGGCTTGCTATTTTTTCCTTATATTCCTCATTTCCTTCTCTTTCTTTTTGTCTCTTTTTCCCCTCTTATTTTTGTCTTGTGCGTCTCTGTTGTCTCATTAGATGGGCTTAGCAAACGAAGCTCACTGACCATGTGCTAATCCTAGTACTTGCCACTTGAAGATAACACTTAGGAAGTATCAGCAACTTGAGATCAGTTCCAGATTAATTTGGATTGTTTAAAAAAATTCTTGATCTGCAAATTTAATTGTCAGCATCTCTCTACTACAAAACTGTAAGTACAGGTATGTGAAAAATATGCAACTATCGCTACGTGATGGAATAGCAATTCCCGTTGTCTCAGTAATTTTCATTAGAGAGGTAGTAAATCCATCAAACGTAGGCTTAACATTTTTAAAAAAATCAACAAAAGATCCCTGGGTGGGCAGGAATAGTGACGATACCCTAGCAGCGTAGGCCAGCACTGCTGCCGGTTTGCCCCCACCGTGGGGAGCAGAGAATGAGCCCCCGTCATTCATCACCGCACCCTGCGCCCGCCGGGTCACGTCTGGGGACCGCGTTAGCCGTGGGGACGGTGCCCCGGCACGCCGG